GCAATTAAAATAATTATGGCTTTTTTTACTATATATTTCGCAGGATTTTCCTTTTTTTTACTAAAGTAAGGTTAAGGTACATATGCCCTATGTCAGTATGGAATGATTCGAAGATATTTGGCTGGCAATGTTATGGCGAGAGAATGTAATGTAGATTGACAGAAAGGCTCTACTCGATATATAATATTTCTGTCTCCAAAAGAAATTAGTAATTTACCAAAAATATGAAAGATCTACAATCTTTAGATAGATTCCTGGTGTAGTCAACGTGTAATATTTACAAAGAATCATGCGATTTGAATAATGGTTGGAGTCTTTTGTGAAGGGGAATATGGTTTATAATAGGTACCAAGATGGCCGACTGTACTTCGAAGACTAACAGTAGAGTTGCACGCTGGTTGGGTAAAAAAAAGGCGTTGTTTGAGAGAATCAGTATTTATTGACCATTACTCAGAAATTTCTTTCATTTACTGATATAGAAGAGAAGCGCAGGTCTTAATAGACAGGGATTTGTAAACTCTATGTATGTATGTATATATGTATGTATGTATGTATGTATGTATGTATGTATGTATGTATGTATGTATGTATGCATGCATGCATGCATGCATGCATGCATGTATGTATGTATGTATTTACAAACTTAAAGACAGGAAACTTTTTAAGTAGGTAGGCAGACGGATAGGCAGATTTATGGATGGAAGAGATGGGTTAGAATACAAGCAATGAAAATCAATATTAAAACTTCATTTTCAGGTCTTTTTTATATTTTATTTTAAATAGCCTCCGTCAAATCATTACAAGTCGAAGATCTTTTCTCCAATCATCACATAAAACCGTTTTCAAACTCAAATTTCAGATGAAACTACTTTGTCTCAAACTACATAAAATGATCTTTATTGATATGGAATTAATTTATATAATGTCATTTAATAATGAGTAGATGCTCATTAAATAAGATGATATCACCAATCAAATCAGATTATCGCATATGGCTTGTAACAACCACAACATGTTATTTTTCCTTTATTACTTTAACGCATCTATGATTCACGAAATTATGTGAATCTTAATTACGAAATGTTGAGCAAAAAGTCGATTTCAGCATAAAAGGTCTTGAATTGGGTGAAATAAAACTATTTTTGTCATGATACTAAAAAAGAGTGTAAGACTGCCTTGTAGCTTGGTTGGTTGGTCGGTTGGTTATTGGGTTGGTGGTTGGAGTTGTTTGCCAAAGTAGTTCACGATTTTTGTTTTTGATCTAATTTTACAACCTGCCGGATGGTTGGTAGGGGAAGATGTACTGATATTTTTAAAAAAATGTAGGATTATGCCCCTCTGTTACATTTTCTGGTGTAAAATAATCAATTGTTTACGGTTGTATCATACACAGGATATAAATTAATAAAATGTACAAAATCATAACTAATAAACTCAACAATATACTTAAATAAAACTACAACAATTGTTTATACAAAATAAATTCTATCAGGAAAGCACAACAAACAAAAATAAATTATGAAAAATATATGTTCATAATATTCATGAAAAATGCCCGGATTAAAATACAAATCATCAGTCTTACGTTAAGATCTGACAAGCGACAGCTTAGGAGTCATTTTCTGGTGACCTATGTTATTACCATAATCGCTAATTTTAACAAATTTCTGAAGTTAGCATTTCCATCGATGAATTCAAACATCATGTGAACATGATCACTTAGCGGTCGCTGTCAGATATTCATGTAGGACAGTGGAGACCTTATTTTAATTAAATTGGTGAAAAAAATAATTTCTATTAGTAAACATTAAACATATCTCTATTAATGAATACATTAACTGCAAACTGAAACACTGTGACACTAATTTATGAGAAAGAAACTTGAATAAATCCACAATCTTCAAATCAGTGTCACAGAGGAGTCAGACATGGATAAATATGGCACAATAAAATATGGCACAATTATTATGCTAAAAAGATCACTTGCATTATGGGAGATCGCAAGAGGGATCATAATATCAACTGTATGCGCGACTCTATACATGTAGCGGTTTGCACTATTAATCTAATGCACATGTAGGAAGCAGCAGATTTGTTTAACTTAATAATGCTAAATTTGTTGTCAGCAAGTTGTATTTAGCTTTATTTTTCATTCCAATGTTAATCTATATATACGGTTGTATTTAGCTAAGACAATTATGGTTTTATTGTATGGGCAAGTATGAAATAATTACCTTTTTATTGAATATTGATAGTCAAGGAACGAAATGCATACTTTATGGAAAGCAAATTCTGGTATACCAAATATCATATTGCGAGGCCTTTGTAAACTTTAACGAACTACGAATTTATTCTTACACCAATATAATGCAATTAAAAATTAAAGTTCAAAGTCAAACTGTGCAGAACTCCCTTAAATTGTGTTGGACAATAATGCAATCAAGGCCTACCTAGGCTTTCTTAATGTAAATTTTTTATATTTGGCATATAGAAATGGATATAGACGGGGTGGGCATAGCAGATCATGGGCATACAGACTCTTTCATTAGCTATGCGTATCTCCATTAACATGGAGTCTGATTATTCGGAGTAAGACAATATTCTCTTCATAATCTTGGACGTATGCAAAGTGTAACACATTTTTTTTTTTGTTTTTCGGACATCCAAAATGTGGATATTTATAATAATCTGTACAAATGTACTAGGTTTCCAAGACCACACACTGCTATCTTATTTCCCATAGGTTCTATGGCGATATCTTGTGGAGATAATGGCACAACGATCGTCTTTACAAGCCGTCCGTCTGCTGAAATCTGAAGTATCTGGCGCGCGTCTCTTGAGCAGACGTACATGTTGCCCTGGAAGTCGCAACACATCCCTCTCAAATCTGCTCGCCCGTACGTATTTCGAAACACCTGTTTTCCACTGTAGTTGAATGCTGAGATGGAATCCCTGTCTGAGACATAAACATAAGATTTTATGGAATCGAAGCATACGCCGCCCAATCCTTTGAAATCTCTCTTCTTGGTGATATGTCTTTCCACGCCGCCGGTGGGGTTGATGACGGTGAGTGATTTAGATGACATGGCGTAACATATTGCCACCATCTTCTGGTTACCGTAGTATGCCAGGCGATAGGTCTTGAACTGGGTGTAAATATCCCGGTAGTGGACGAGATACTTGCCCTCAATGGAAAGCATCTTGATCATGTTCTGGTCTGGAAGAGACACGGCAACTTTCCTTTCATACAAGTATGCCACGCCACGGGGCCCAGAATCAAGTTTGACGCTGGACCGGAAAATACCATACTGATCAAACAGCTTTACTTTGGCATTGTTGTAGTCCGAGAGGAGGAAATCGCCATCTTCAGTGATGTCAATGGCATTTATGATGCAGTTATCTTTATCTCCGGGTATTTTTACATTGATAATGCCTTCTTTCTTTGCTGAGCTGCTCTGAAGATTTCCAAGCACTTTCTTCTGCATCACTTCCACCACGCCGAGTGTATGAATTCCTTTAAACATGGTTTCTAGATCTTCGTTTGGCACAAATTTAAAGTCGAATTCCCTGAAATTAATTCTGTCCTCGTCTACAAGCCTTTCATACCTGTCACATTCTCCAGAGAGGTTGTGGATGCTCAATACGAGTTGAGCATCTGACCCGGATTTCATGATTGTTCGCAGAGTGCTGATGGAACTTTTCAAAGCTCGCTCTAACCGACTTGTCTTCTCTACCTGCATGTTGATAAGATCTGTCTGCTCACTGTACAGGTTCTCAACATCATTTACAAACTGCCGTTCAAGATCGTCAATAACTTTGGTCAGGTTCATCTTAAAATTGCTCATCTTCTTCAGAACCTCCTCCTTTTGGCCTAAAAGGTGTTGCTGAGATACTGACTTCTTGGACCCAACGGCCTCGATTGCGGTTAGGCATTGTTTCATTCTGGTTATAAGGCCGCTTCCTGCTTTTGATTGTTTCAGGGCTTTCGCTAGTTTATCCATTGTAACAACATTTTGACAACGTCTGTGGGTGACCGTCACACACGTGCTGCAGCAAGGCACAAAATGATCCTGACAATACATGTTCATAGTGTTCCCAGGATGGTCAACGCATGGTTCATCGGCTTGCAAGAGCTGCATCTGATGTGATTTGGACTCTTGAATGGGAATCAAATTGTGGAGCCGTGTTATTCGCATCCCTCTGTGAGTTCTTGTGCAAACGCCGCAGAGGGCTTCATTGCAAGTCTGGCAATAGTTTGTGGCATCTCTGAATTCCGCCATCTCTTTACAGGGATCGCATTTACGGTCGATTTCATCGAGCACAACCTCACTTTCTACCAGCGATAACCTTCTCTGATGGCTTTTGATGTGCCATATCCAATTCTCTGGGGGCATGTCCCTCCTCGGGGCGGGGATGATAGTCTGGCACATGGGACACGGGAAATCTATCTCTACATTCGGCAAAGACTCCAAATAGTTCTTTAGGCACGGCACACAAAATGTATGCATACATGGTAAGATTTTCAGGGCCCTAAATCTCTCCTCGCAGATGGCGCACACTGACCTTGGCGTGTCCTCTGAGAATGAGATAACGGAAGATCTTTTGAGTGGTTCATCCACGTAAGACACGATCGACGATCTCTTCGTTAGTGGATTATCATCGGCGAACGATAAAACAGACGATCTTGTAGTAGTCGCCATGTTTTTAATATCTGTTTTCCATTAGTTACAGAACAACTCACCGCGATGAATCAAGTACGCGAGTTTACATTTAATTTGGAAGGATCGAGCTCGATGAAAGATTGACAAGAATCGAATCGAAAGTTTGTAATTATATTAATAAAATTCAAATTATTTTCACTTTATTATACTAAATAGAGAATTAATAATCTTTTGAATCAAAATATATAGAGATATATTTTAAGCGAAAGAAATGTATCATGTTTTTTATCGGTATGAAATTCCTTGTGCATTGACTAAACTACATTATTCTTTCGAAGCGCTCTGCTGGCCTAGTGATTAGAGCGTCCACCTCGGATGCGGGAGGATGTGGGTTCGAACCCCTGCCGAGTCATACCAAAGACTTTTAAAAATAGTACTAACAGCTGCTTCGCTTGGGCGCTCAGCATTAAGAGGTTAGTGTTAGGACTGGTTGGCCTGGTGTCAGGATAATGTGACGGGGTGGGACATAATGCCACATATCTACGGCATGATGCCCCAGTGTTAGACATCGCTATAAACGGTCACACTGCAGACATCGTAGCGATATGTCTAAAAAAAATGTTATAGCTATGTTAAATCTCTCTCTCTCTCTCTCTCTCTCTCTCTCTCTCTCTCTCTCTCTCTCTCTCTCTCTCTCTCTCTCTCTCTCTCTCTCTCTCTCTCTCGCTCGCTCGCTCGCTCTTCCACGCACATACACACATTATTCTTTCATGTCAGTAATATGGTAGTTAAATATAATTATAAAACTGTGAATAAGGTCTAGCTTGATTACCTTTTGATTGACAGCGATTTCGTAGATATGTGGCATGATGTCCCACCCAGTCACATTATCCTGGTGTCAGGATAATGTGACGGGGTGGGACATCATGAGATATGTCTACGGCATGATGCCCCAGTGTTAGACATCACTATAAACTGTAACACTGCAGACATCGTAGCGATATGTCTGAAAAATTGTTATAGCTATGTTAAACCTCCCTCGCTCCACCCTCCCTCTCTCTCTCTCTCTCTCTCTCTCTCTCTCTCTCTCTCTCTCTCTCACACACACACACACATATTATTCTTTCCTGTCAATAATATGGTAGTTAAATATTATTATAAAACTGCGAATAAGGTCTAAATTGATTACCTTTTGATTGACAGCGATTTCGAAAATGCTTACACACACACACACACACACACACACACACACACACATTGTACATTTAAAAATGGACAAACGCCAAATAAATGCTTCGATACTTCTTGCAAATAATTGTAGATGACTGATTGAAAATTCACCTTTGAAAATTCACCGTTTATAGAACAAAGTAGAAAGTTTCTAGTAGATACTTTTGATATTAGATTTTCTTTCTGAAAATGATTTACAATGATCAGGTATGTACACAGTGGATTATTGTATCACTTTTCACTTTCCTTGCACGCTCCAAAAGCATTCGGCACATTTACTTAGAGAACTGTGTCACACCTCGGTACCTTTTAATACTATCGCCTATTTTTTTTTGTTTTCAATCTATTTTGAGGAAATGGGGAACACGGACTTTGAGTGCCGTATAGGAGTTTGGTATTCTTATTAGGTCTAAAAATTTACGTTTTCTTTGGTCTATTTTGCTTTTTATTTATTCATATTTTTAATGAACATTTCTTAGTTGTTTAAGTTATAATTTTTTTTGGCATTGAATATGATCAGAACTTGAAATAAATATTGATACAAATATGTTACTATATTACTAATTGTAGCTTTAGTAAATCAAAGAAACTGTATCGTGATCGTAGACTAATATAGCTTTCCTTTTGATTCACTGACGTTCTTTGTAGATTGAATCTAAATCTGTCAATATATTCAGGTGCATTTTCTTAGCAGGTTTTCACTTACGTAATATGTATGTATGTATGTATGTATGTATGTATGTATGTATGTATGTATGTATGTATGTATGTATGTATGTATGTATGTATGAATGCATGTATGTATGTATGTCTCAGTCTGACTTTGTGTCCCGTTCTGGAGATTGTTTTGGGATATTTTTCTCTTAGAAAGTATCACTTTTATTGATATATGACGATATCACTAACCTGAGTTGAGACATTTAGTCTGATTTATTTTTTCTTAAACAGAGATTACAAGATTAATGATGTGCTGTTGTCCAAATTGGTAATGTTTGATTTAGAGAATTTAGCTTATGTATTTATAATGATATAACTGCAAGCATACATACATGCACACATACATATTTATTTATTTAATTAGGCCAGCGACGAATAACAGAACATTAGAAACAATACGTTTTCTCAAATATTCTAATAGAAAATCTGATTTGCATTTTTTTTCCTAGTGAATAGCAACACCTACAAACCATTCAAAATATCAGCTGATACTTGAGAGAAGAAACAAGCAAGTATTTAACAAAGATATAATTGTTAACAAGATTATAAGAACGCTGCGCATCAGCATAGAAGTAAGGGAGAACATTTATATAGGCAAATATGGACAGATCATTCCATATTCTAAGTCCTGAGAATGTAAAATGAACTAGAAAACAGAAATACACAAGCTTACATTGCATCATTAAAAATACATTATAAGAACGTAATTATAAAACACTTTATATCATAATGGGTCAAACCTTTCTTGTGTACTTTTCCACAGAGAAGCAACATTTATGCTAGACAGGAGACGAAACTTCATTATTCATATCACTGATAATAAGAATTATCAAATCTCGGGACATTCCCGGAAGAGATTGAAAAAAAAAAAACTTCAGACAATGATTCTCTCTCTCTCTCTCTCTCTCTCTCTCTCTCTCTCTCTCTCTCTCTCTCTCTCTCTCTCTCTCTCTCTCTCTATACTAATAAAGCTGCTTAACTTAATCCCTTCTTACCAAAAAATGTTTACACAGAATGACTTCCGGTCATGTAGGCTGTTCAGCATATCAAGAATAGACATTGCCTCCCCCCTTTCCTCAGTGATACCAGTTTCCAGGGGTTTTTCCCGCTACACCGTTACTTTAGTAGTTTCCGACAGTAAGGTATGAATGTATGTACGGAATTTCCAGAGTAAACTTGCTACGAATTCAATAAGATTCGTATTGTTTGGCATTTCGAATATTGCAAAAATAATTATGCTTACGAACCTTTGTTATTCACACGTTTGCCACGTGCAAACATGGTGGCCAAATATGATGTTGTTCAGATAAATTTTGTTTGTTAATCTTATTTGTATTAAGTACAGGTATTCCAGTTTAGGACCGCGTATCACCAACGATTTTCAGAATGGGTATTGTTCTATGTTTGATGTTTATGAAATTTTCTCTATTTCACAAAACATTATCCCCTTTATCAGTGTATTTGTTTATGTTTACAGGCCCTTGCTGAAAAATGATTGCCCGGGTGTTGGCATCACACTGGAAGCTTCTGTGACTGTTATAATAGTATAGTGTAGTAGAATCAAGGATTCCGAGTCAATACGTCCCCTTTTTATCAACATAAAGTTAGCAATCTTTTAGTCCTTTACACATGTCCGGTCCTAGGGCAAGGCGAACGAGGCAACCGCCATCCACCTAGTTCGAGTTTCCTCTGACCCTTGACACCCCATTTTTGATATCTGGTTTTTTATGTTGGGGTGTAGGGTCAGAGTCTATTCCCTATCAAAAACTTGGAATTTGCCGACACCATTTGGTGTCGGCATAGGGTACTCGCCAACTATCAGGCCTAGCAAACTTAAATGATCGTACATTGACCCATAATAACATTAAATCGATAGGGACATCATTTATCTTCTCAGAAATTACTAGCATAACACCGATTTTGTCTTTAATCCGTTGTCAGACGAGACGTAACTACAGCGTCGATGAATTTTGACCTCGATCGCAACATTTTCATTGCTAGTCACAGGACAAACCAAATCTCGCAGCCGATATGCATAAACGTCATAGGTCAAATAGTCACGTGATAACAACAAAAAACCACGTTTTCCCATACCCCTTGTGGAAGACGGCAAATGTGTCACCTTCATTGATAACTGATTTTATTACTTCATTCTGTAGTTCCTTATTATTAAAATAGTATCCCTTTTCTTAAAGTATCTCATGGGCAAGAGCTTCCGTGAATTCGTCTTTACCTGCCATGTTGCAATATAGGTTTATGCACAAAATCTTCCATTCCAGTATTGCAGAAAGAAGACAAAAACTCGAAAATATTGAATGAAAGTCACGCAATGTATACAATAACAAGAAAAAAAACCACGTATTATTCAACATATTAATTGGGATAACAGCAGCCCGAAGCATGTCGCTGTAGCATCTTTCTGGAAAGAGGCTGACTGATCACGCAGAAACTTCATGTCAACGCACTTTGTTGTTATCACATGACTATTTGACCTATGACGTTTATGCACATCGGCTGCGAGATTTAGTTGGTCAATTGACTAGCAATTAAAATGGTGCGATCGAGGTCAAAATTCATCCACGCTGTAGTTACGTCTCGTCTGACAACGGATTAAAGACAAAATCGGTGTTGTGCTTGTAATTTCTGAGAAGATAAAAGATTTCCCTATCGATTTAATGTAATTATGGGTCAATGCAAGGTCATTTAAGTTTTCTAGGCCTTATAGTTGGCAAGTACCCTATGCCGACACCAAATGGTGTCGGCAAATTCCAAGTTTTTGATAGGGAATAGACTCTGACCCTACACCCCAACGTAAAAAAAACAAATATCAAAAATGGGGTGTCAAGGGTCAGAGGAAACTCGGACTAACATCCACCCTGCGCTTCTCCACAATGCAGTTTTTTTTTTTTTGCTTGGGGCCCCGCGCTCGTACTTTGCTACCTTGAGCCCCGCATGCTGCCTTCGGCCCGGCACATTCTAGGGCCAGGCCTGCCTTTACAATAGTGTAAACTGAATCATCCCTCTTTAGTTGCAGTGTTTATATGACAAAGTACGCAACAATGAACATGTGCATTGCAAAGGTTTATACTGTATGGTACTAACCACTTCATGTTTTTTTGTTTTTTTTTAGAGGGGGCTGTAATTTTCTTTCGAGTCAGGGCAGTGGCGTCACTAGGGGTACGAACCACACCGGGTGACACCATCAAAGGGAGTGGCACCAAAATCGCTGTTTATAAAAATTTTGAATTTTGTGAAGGAAGGGGGGTCCATGGGGTACCACCATGAGTTACCGCACTGGGTGACACCAACCCTAGTGACTCAACTGAGCCAGGGTATTTAAAAAAAACAACAAAAAACAACAACCTAAAAAAGGGTATAATATGGTAAGGATTTTTCAATTTATTTTCGATCTTTCTTCTTTAGAAACAACCAGCACGTATCGCGGTTGACTATAAAGTGCAACCGCTCCAGTGGCCTAGTGGTTCCAGCGTTCGCCTCAGATGCGGGAAGTCGCGGGTTCAATCCCTGGTTGAGTCATACCAAAGACTTTAAAGAATGGTACTAACAGCTGCCTCGCTTGGCGCTCAGCGTGAAGAGGTGAGTGTTAGGACCGGTTCGCCTGGTGTCAGGATAATGTAACTGGGTGGGAACATCATGCTACGTGTCTGCGGCGTGATACCCCAGTGCTAGACATCATTTTAAACTGCCACACTGCAGACAACGTAGCGATATGGCTAAAAAAAATTGTTAAAGCTACGTTGAAAATCATAATCACATCACATCACTAAGAACTGCGTTATAACATGCTGAATGGTAGCCAACTCAACTATTTACCTAAAAATTACCATTTATCTTTCCTAAACAGATGAATATCATGTTTTTTTTTTCCCGCGAAGTGTTAGCTGGTGTTACTATAAGATTATAAGGAAATGGATATCATGGATTTCTCTAAACCAAATTTTTAAATTGAAAAACAATGAAGATTTTTGATGAATGCAATTTGTGATCAATAAAGCGAGCCTCTTGCTCTCGACACATCGCTTGACTAGTTTTGGAAGTGAGTTCGCTGTCCACGGAGGGACTTCACGAAGTAGCGTCGTGTCCCAATAAAAGTACACACATGGATGAATATACAGACAACTTGAAAGCAGTGTCGTCTTAACAACATTGTAGGTTCTGGGAAAAGAAATACACGTGGGCCCCCTACCGGCCCTACTATTCATTAACAATATGGGCAGCATGATGCCCCTACAAGCGTGAGGCCCTGGGCAACTGCCCAGAGTGCCCATGCCTTTAGGGAATGGAAGAATATTGCTCTTTTGATGCGAGAACGATAAGAGATCCATTATAATGCGTCATAATTCTCTCTCTCTCTCTCTCTCTCTCTCTCTCTCTCTCTCTCTCTCTCTCTCTCTCTCTCTCTCTCTCTGTATATATGATGCCCCTATATATATATATATATATATATATATATATATATATATATATATATATATATATATATATATATATATATATATATATATATATATATATATATATTGAATTAAATTAATTAAATATGAAAATGTCTTAACAGTTGCTTCCCTCTCTTTTTCACTAAACCAACCCAGTAAGTAAGATACATACTTAAATCCATGAAAAGATGGGCGTAAAGAATGTTCGATTGGATTATCAATTGTGTCATAGGACGATGTCTCTGAACCTATGAATGAAGGTAGACGTGTTAAATCAAACAATCAAACGGCATATATTTGAATATATATATATATATATATATATATATATATATATATATATATATATATATATATATATATATATATATAGTATGTGTGCTGTATCAATGATATACTACACGCTGTATACATTTTTCATTTAAAGGAAACGCAGCAAGCCTTGTAAATCTAAAAATGTCACATTTTTTGTTTGGATCTAAAACAGCAAGAACAGCTCAAGGGCTACCCCTACGATTGGAAATAAGTCGTGCATTTTCATTTGATGTTAGTTATACAATCGGCTGTGTAGCGTACGAACGTACTTGCAACTCTTTTTGCTTCAGAAAGGTAACGTTTTGTATTTGAGTAGCAAAGAACACTAGTACGTCATTAAAATAAAGCATCCAAGAAAAAAGGGTTCTTCTTTAAAATAATTTATCGCCAGTAAAAAATATATGATTAGTATACATATATTTTCTGTGGTTAATAATAAGGTAGGATATAGCAACTGAGTTCATTGTATTTGAATTATGAAGAATACCATATGTTGTTTAGTCTGCTATCGCATAATATGCTGACCGATCTGGTTTTTAGGAGTTTGTCAGTAGTAATCAAGAGGGAAAAAAAAAAAACAGAACCTGCTCTGTAGGTGCATTATGTAATGGTAGATCAGGCTCTGTTTTGTTTGCAGCTGTATCAGTTGTGAATGGGGACACTAGGGGGACAATGGGATTGAACATGGGTGGCACTGTCGAGGGACAAGGGGGATTTAACATAGGGAATGTATAGCGACAGGGTATTGGGCCTGTCTAGGAACAATAGGAATTGAACAGGGGTGACGTTACGGTACTCGACACTGGCAACAATGTTGCAAGTGGCTGTACCTCAATCAGGCGGAACAGTGTGGCAAGGGGCTGACCTGAAGACGCGTTACTCTAGGGATAAATAGAGACATATACATAGAGACGTGGTTGGAGACAGGGTTAGTGATATAGACAGAGACATAGGCATATGACACAACTATAGATTTGTCAAAAAAACCCACAAATATAGATATATGCACATATATCTATCACATAAAGATCAACTAAAAGTTATTTTTTAGGCAAGAGAGAATATACATCTTTTTGAGGCAATGGAGTGGCCCTTTTCTTTTGTTAACACCATATAACATAAAGGAATAGTACGGTTCTTTTCTTCCTCAAACTTCGTCTGACCTCTGGACCGTAGATTAAAACTTTCTTCAGACAGCCTTGTCTCCACATATATGTTTCGTTTCCAAAGGGTAATTGCTCATGATAATTTGACATACATTAGGTTACCCTGGTGGAACATCATCGAAGATAGGAGGGTAGACGATTCAACGGTAGTCCACATTTTGTGACGAAAACAGGTGAATTGAACGAGGTGAACGGCGGTTATTTATAGTGGAAGAGAAGATCGAAAAGGATTGAGTTCTTTCACCAATCCAAACAAGCGTTACAAACTTAAGTCATAGTGCGGAATCTGTACTTCAATCCGAAGAGAACTACATGTGACGTCACATTCCCTATATAGGTGCGCTAACGTCTATGCGCAGGGAATCACTACGACATAGAACATGACGGAAACTACGAAGACGATGAATTGGGGTTCATCTGCTTTGGAGACGAGGAGTGATGGCATAGCATCTGGTACCGAAGCAAAGACAGTCCTACTTCAAGAAGAGAACGATTTTAATTGGGCTTTAGTGGATTTTCTCTCTTCTTCACAAGAATTTGATCCGGTACCAGCACCTTCACCACCTTCTCCTTCCTTACCGTACGTCGAGGATTTTAAACAGAGACGGAAAGAATGAATAATTAGAGTCACTTTTTGCAACAGCAGAAAGCCATTATCATTCACCATCAGCAGCTAGAAGAAGAAGAGGCAAGAAGAAAACTACAACAAGAAGAGGAAGCAGCGAAGAAACAAGGTCTAAGAGAGAAGGAGGACAGTGAAAGTCAAACGGTGACGATACTCTTAGACTTTTGGCAGTCAAAAAGTCTGAAACAAATGTATTAGTCTTCTCAAGAGAAAAAGACCTTCCCGAGCCAAAAAAGTCCAACCCCGTCTACATACCTACTACGCCTGAGGTACCAATAATGGTGATTTCTACCAAGTCATCAACATTAGCAGGTCCAGATGTAGGCCTTGGCCGTGGCAAAAGGGATGATACAATTACAGCTCATTACGTATCTTTCCTAAGTTTGTTTTTCTAAATCAAAACCAAACATCGAAAGGTCTTTTTCAGGTTCACCCATCTTTCTCTCTCTCTCTCTCTCTCTCTCTCTCTCTCTCTCTCTCTCTCTCTCTCTCTCTCTCTCTCTCTCTCTCTCTCTCTCTCTCTCTCGAAAAGAGACTACTCAATGTTTGCCAACATCATTTAAAACTCAGAAACCTTTTATCCTCATGACGAACGTGTGTTAGTGCGTTAGTGTATGTCCTGGCATTTTAAAATTGAAAAAAAGGCATTTACGTTTTTCTTTCTGGTTACAAATTTACAATCCAATTTCACAATACATCACTTAAATAGTTCATATTTTCTTTTTTTTCTCCAATTTTAGCCCTATTCATTGTTTGAATTTCTTCACCGTCAGATTTTTCTCTTTTTTCCTCACTTTCTTCGCGTCTTCTTTTCTTGTCTTCTGAACTTGTGCGCGTTATCCCTATTCGGAGGGTAACTCTTCTTCCTGTTCATAACCTATCTCTCCCTTCTGCTCCTTTAGTTTCTTAGGGCGGTCTGAAGACCAATGTCCTTTCTCTTGACAATGATAACAGGTATCAAACAGTCTTGACCGTTGTCTCTTTTAATGCCAGTCCTACTTTGAAGTTGTGGATATTTAGAAAACCATTGCCCTTTCTTCTAATCGATATAGCACGTATCTTGATTTATATCTAGAAAGGATGGGAGTAGTTCATCAGCTTCCCTGAAGAACACCTTCTTCGGACATCTCGCAAAACTCTGATCAGAAGTTCGATCTTTGTTGACTCTTCCTTCTTTCTGGTAGGATTGAGACTGAAATTAATACTCGGATGAAGACACCGACCCTTTTATATTGGAAGACATTAACCTTACATTAATATATATGAGACCATGGTGCTTAAAATTTAGTCATTTGACCTTTTTTGCAATCAAAATGAAACGATCGCATAATTGGTGAAGAAGGGAAGAAAAGTAAGAAGCAGAAACGTGACATATCGCCTCGCACAGTAGCTGAAGTCTTAGCTCAAATCAATGTCAGCGATTTCGAAGAAGACATGAGTGAACCACAATCCAGACCCAGAGATTCTACGTCAAACCAAAGTCAGCAACCAGTAACCACTGAAAACGAGTACCACATTCGAGAGACGGATAAACACTGCTACAAAAATTTAGAACCACGGTGAAGTTAAAGATTTCAAGTCTGACGAACCGTTGAAGAAAGCAGTAGAGTTCATCACCGACGTGTCAGATTCTTTGTTAATCACACTGAAACGGCAATGTAAAGCCAATGAAGACAATCGCTTCACATTTTCCATTTCTCACGATCGAAATGTGATGGATGTTTGGCTTCTAAACGCTTTCTTCACGAAGGACATGAACGAGTGCGTTGCCCAGCTTGTCAACGTACGTTTGTAAGTCCTATGTGTTAACAACAACATCTGCAGACACAAGGTTCACAGCGGAAAAGTGCTCGTCAACTGATAAGATTGTTCTCTACTTGTGGACTAGGCATACTACCAATAGTATATTCAGGTAAAAAACGGTCAGATTTGTCACAAAATCGTGAACTTAGAACACAAATGCTACTTTCAAAA